GCTCATCGATACAGCTGCTGAGGACACGGAAGCACAGTCCCGGGAAGAGACCTGGGTGCCGTGCGGAAAACGCTCTGCTTATGTCAGATATCAAAATGAAGAGACTGTTATTTTGGAAGGCTGTATTTTTAAAAATAATTTTTTTAAAATTTCATTTATTATTAATATATTTTAAAAATGCACCAGAAAAAAAGAGAGAGAGAAGGGAAAGTGAGAAAGCAAGCCACCAGGTCTGGGATTCAAACCAGTCGGTCATGTGGGAGCCCAGTGCCTTAACCACCATGCCACCTGCTGGCCCTGGTTATGTGGTATTTTATGTATCAGATTAGAGACAGAGAAAGAAGCAATGACCCATATTAAGTGATCAATAGTTATCTATTAATTTAACACATATTTACTTACTACACACTAGTCACCAGAACACTGCTAGATACAGGACCACAGCGGGAAGGAAGAGGCGTCCTCTTCTCCCATGAAGATGACATTTTAAAGTGAAACATAGACAATAACGGAAGACTTCAAAACGTTTGTGGAAAATGGGATTAAAGTATAAGTTTATTTCAGTGCAAAAAATTAAAATTCAAGTAAATTTTTTTCATATACATTTCCATGACCTTTTGAAGACCTCTCATAAACAGAAAAACAAGGACGAATAAGAAAAGACTCAGCAATGAGCACAAAGAGTAAAGGCAGGTCCCCAGGGAGTGTAAAGGGAGCCGAGGGGTCAGTGCAGCTTTTCCGAGGCCATGACACTAACCTAGCCTGGGACGACGCGGAGGAAACTGCTCTCCGTGGAGGGGAGAGAAAACAAGGACCGTGGGCGAGGCGCTCGGAGTGAAGGAAAAGTAGGGTCATGCCCGGGAGCTCAGGGAGGGCGCCAGGAGAGGAAAGAGGTGGGGAGGGACCAGGACCAGGAGCCTGGTCGCAAGGCAGGATCATACGGAAAAAAGAGAATAGAATGTGAAACAGAAACGCCATTGGAGTGGGATGATACAGAAACACAGGGTGCAGAGTCCTGGCAAAGCCCTGCTTGCTGCAGCTGGGACTGTCATCGGGTCTCACCAGGATTTAGTGCCGCCTAGGAGGCCGGCGGTGCCAGTCCTTACTAGTCTGGAAGTGAAAAACGAAACACTCCCAGTTCTGTTAGGAACTGGTGTCCTATTACAGTATCTATAGCCTCCAGTGTTTCCCCTGATTATCAACAAAATACATGTTTATGACAGGATGTGTAGATAAACCACAGGAGAAAAGATTACTCTAAGTACAGCACCCAAGATAACTGCTGTTCACGTTTGGGCATGGGCTCCGCTAGGTACTAACAATCCTTACAGTTATCATTAGACCTTACTATATGATTTCAAATATTTTTCTATAATTTTATCTTTAATGGTTACATGTGGGAGGCGGCCCAATCTGAGCAAGCACAGTGACCTTTGGACACATGTGAAAATGCAGTTTTGTGACCTGTCACTTGCAGGAAACAATTAACATGTAAATATGCTAGCCGTGTGCTGTTACGGATACTGCAGAGCAGTGCTGGGTTAAAGAAAGCCCCATGCGTTTATCAAAATTGGCCCCAAAAGGTCAGAAAAACTGAGGCTTCAGTTGTCCCTGCACCTCAGCCAATTAACATCTGAAAACAACTGGCTTTCTTTCCATTTCGTCTTTCCCCGTTTTCTGCCCTTTAAAAGAACAGACCTGGGACTGGTTTGGAGTCATGGCTGCCTCCATCAGAGAAGTTGGGCGCACCTGGTCCTCACTTTTCTATACTAGTATGTCTTTGTGTGTTTATTTTTATGTTCTCTATTATAGGATATTGTGAATGGAAGTCTGACTTCTTTTTCCTAGTTTTCCAAAGTCCTTTCCAGAGGGCCTAGGGGGAGTCACACCCACAAACATTGACAGACCATTTTTTTCCCATTTAACAGGATTCTTCCTGCATCCTGTCTCTGGCATAGGATCTTTGAGATGTATATTCAACCGATGACAGTGTATTCTATTCTTATCTCTTCCCAAGATGCAGAACTTCCCTTTCCTTGAGATGTAGATTAAGCATTTCTTTATGAATCTTTTCCCAGGACACAGCTCTTCCCTTCCAATCACCAACCTAGAAATTGTGGAAACCACCTACAACCTACAAGCCCCCTTTCCACATGTTCCACCTCTTTGGGCCAGACCAACGGAAATCCCTTCACTAAATTTGCCTGTCAATCTTAAAATCAAATAAAAGGAACCCTTGTCCTTAATTACCCCGAGAAAGGCATGTATGCTTCCTTTCTGGGTCTAGGTCACTCATATTCTTCTTGGAAATAAACTGCATTAATTATTAATGATTAATTTTTGGAGTTGGTTATTTTCCATTGACAATATTTAGGCTTTTTCCCAATTTTTACTATTTATAAACTTCTACAGATCAAGTATTGCAAACTTTCTGATTACTTCTCTAGAATACACTGTAAGAAGTGGCTACATCAACACGCAGGTCTATCTTCAAGTCTCTGTTTCTATGTCTTCTGTTATAAATTTAGAAAGTGTTCTGGGGAAGAGTCAGGCCTGGTAGGGAACGGTCCTCATACATGTGAGGTGCTTGAGGTGTGACTCAGCGTCGCCCGGATGGAGCTACTCCTTCCTCCCACACGCACGTGCACATGTGCTTCTCCAGGCCTCTGTGTACCGTCAGGCCTGCATCTTGTCCCTCACTCGTGAGGAAAACTTCTCAAAACCTAGACTTCAAGCTGAGCAAATTTGCTGACAGTTTTTGATTTGCTGGGAATTTTGTTCTTATTTTTTTTTCATTTGAAGCCACAAACTCATTCGGTTTAGAATATTAGAAATTCAAGTTCCCCATCTTATACACGATTCGAGGAGCCAACGACTGTGCAAGGTGTCTGTGTTACTGTTGGACAGTTAATTAGGGCTCATGTAAAAATCTCTGGGACCTCGTTGAGCAGCTAGTACAGGTAGGCTTAATCAATAGCTACTTGGAGTAACTAACAGCCTCCTATAGAATTTGGCAGCTGGAAAGGACCTAGTGCTTACGTGGAAACTGTGGCTAGAATGGTTAATGAGAGGCATGTTGTCAGACTGCTGTTAGTGAGGCACTGGGACAGTAACTCAGACCCCAGAGGAGCCAAGGCTTGGTGGGGCGAAGTGAACATCTTGGAGAGAGGGGGTTAACTAACTCTGGGTGCTCTCAAGAGGGCAAAGCCAAGACCAGGGGACCCAGTTTCTGGGAGGATGACTGTAGTGTAATGCAAAGAAGATACTAAGTTCTGTCCAGAACCGAACAGGTACTTCGAAAAGAGGCGATTTGCCCCAATTGAAAATGTTCCATTAGAAACAACTACTTGGGACCAGCAGTTGGCGTAATGGCTATGTCGCTGGACTCCCACGTAGTCGACTGCAGTTCATGTCCTGGACCCAGTGGCTTAAACTCATGCCAGGCGTGTGTGCGTGCGTGCCCAAGAACCCGAGAGGAGAATGGAGGAGAAGGGATTGCAGCGTGGCCATCCCCCCTAGAGGGTGATTTCTCACTTTCTGTCTCTGTCTCTCTCTGTCTGTCTGGCGAGCATACGCGCCCTGTAGCAAAAACTTCTCCCACAAAAAAAAAGAAAAAAGAAAAGAAAAAAAAACAGGAACAACTTGTCATGTGCTTTAAAAGAAACAATTTGCGTGTGTGTATGTGTGTGTGTGTGTTCCTGGCAGGGAGAATGACTCCTAAGTTTTCTGCCAAAACTAAGATGAACAATTCTGTGGATATCTATGTCTTGCTAGGTAAATATTTTTCCTGTTGATTTGTTACTTTCCAATGAAGTCTTTTCAGTGTGACTTCATTGTCTTTCTCATAGATGGGACAAGGTTCATTTTAGTGTTTTTCTGACCTAAAATACTATGGCTCTAAATAAATTTCCTTTTAGCACTAATTCAGTGTGCTCCACACAGTAGGAGTTCAAACATGGATCTGAAAGAACTCTAGAGTCTGGGATACTTACCTTTAGAATAAACTGCGCTACAGTCTGTGCATTTAAACACTGGCTGCACAAGCTGCTACAACCACATACCGGCTGATCACACTGAAGAGCACTAAGTCATTTTTTTTTTTAATTACAAAAGTTTAGAATTAAAAGAAGAAATCTAGGTGAGTTATATCATGGGGAGGTAACAGTATTCTCTTACTGAGTTTCTGAATAGTAATATGACATTATGGTCAGAGTTCTTTCCAAGAATAGAAAGAATCCTTTTAACACTAAACTGCAAATATGATTTTATTGCAGTTGCTAAAAGACCACCCACAGTATAATCGTTTCGTGCAGATTCTAGGAGTCAGACAGCCACATAGATGAACCATACTCCAGGAATGCTTCCAGTTTTCCAGACTTCAAATCAGTGATAGACATGGAGGTCTTGGCAAGTCCGTACTCGAGCTCAGAGCTGAGCGAAGCTTGGATGTGCATCGCAGCACCCGGACGCCCTGACTCCTGCCAGGGCTAAGCACCGCGAAGGCCGCCTTCTGTCTGTCTGTCCGCTTCTCTCCCTCGCTCTCTCCCCCCACCCCACCTTCCTTTCTTTTTCCTTTTCCCCCACTAGAAGACTAAATATAGAAATCAATAGTCAGATCAAGTATTCCATTAGATTATCAACGATGTCTTCAACACTCCTAATAAACAGCTATGACTGTCCATTGTCTGGAATGCCCCAGCGACGTCCCTTTTCCAGCCCAACAGGGAAGGACAGAATATCCCAGGGCAACACCCGTGCCTCATGCATTGGTGCGAGGTGCTACAGAGTGAGCCGTCAGGCGTGAACCTTGACCTCCCAGGGGCATTCAGAGCCCGAAGGAGACGAAAGACTACCTGGTACCTGCCTCACCCAGCAGCCCGGTCACATACGTCGCATCCGTGTGGCACGACCCACTTCACACGCACCCTGCTGGCACGTGATGTCTGGGACGCCAGTCCCAGAAGCACGAAACAGAAAAAAACGAATTAAATTGGTTTTACCTCTACTGCTGCCTTCGCCCTTTCAAACTCTTCTTCTAAGGAGTGGTTTCTAGAAAGCAGCGCGCTGCCCCAGCGGTGCTCCTTGGTCAGTCGAGCCTGAGAGAACCAAACAGGGCGTTAGTGCCGAGGTCGGGTGACACAGGACACACCCTTCCCACCTCATGTCTCCGGAGTTCAAGGAGCTTCTGCCACGGATGTCATTTCGGAGGACCTCACAGACATGGCGTCGCTTGACATGGTGGTTCACACGTGTGGGCACGTGTGTGTGATTCTTCCCACAGTGGGTCTCCTGCCTGGTCTCACTAGAACCAACACCCGGGCCTCCCCAGTGAAGCTCCTGCTGCTGGTCTGGGTTCTGGGCAGTGAGACTTCAGTAACCCTCCCCAAATGGTCCTCGTACCCGATGGCATGCACGATCTGAGAGAAGGCTAAATCAAGAAGTTAATGTTTGAGTTTTCAGCAGAGGAGGACCAGCCTCAGGTTGAAAACTGCAGACGGGAAGCGGACTTCTGGGCCTGTCTACATGGATCTTCGTGAGAACTCTGCCTCTCCCTCTGTCTCCCGTTTCTCGGGACATCATTACTTTCCCTGGTTTTCCTCAATTCTTCAAATGTTTTCTATTTTTCAGATTGCATAAGTTTAAAAAACAATTAACTTCAGAGAATAGTAATTACACAGCTTGTATAAATGCCCAGAAACCTATTCTTAAATGGACAGGGATGATCTAATTTCTTGCTACTGTGATTAGTGTATTCAAAACATTATTTGAATGAGACTAGACTGTTTTTCCTTTTTCTTTTCTTGAAAATAAAATGAGAAACAAAGATTCTTCACCTCATGAGCTTTCATGTTTGTTCATGTGATTTTGAAGTATCATTTTTTCAAAAAAAGATGATTTCTTCTGAGAGAGGAAGAAAGGGAGACACCTCCGGTAGGTCTCCCCGGCTACCCAGACCGGTCTCGGGCAGCTGGGGTCAAGGCACGTGTGCTTGGGTCCTGGGACGTGATCTGGCCTTTCCTGGGGGTCACCATGGCGCCACCACCTGGCCCCTGAGCTGTGATGTTAAGCCAGGCTTGTAAAGAGCTCCACACTTGCTGAGTCACCACCTGGATAACTTGTGTGGTTTGAGAGAGGAAGTGTTTCCTTCATTCTCTGGGGAGCCCTCTAAGCAGCAGAGGCAGGGACAAGTTGTGACAGGCTGGCTGATGTGCTCCGGTGGCTCTCAGTCGGGTTTAGGCTGGCTTTATCACCTTCTCATTCTACCTTATGCGTGTAAGGACATTATATATTTAAGAGTAATCTATTTCTTTAAACCTTTTTTAAGAGAGACTTTTGCTAAGGGCACATGCACTCGCTGGAGAGAGAAAGGCAGACAGAAAGCGAGAAACCATGCCCCGGGGAGATGGCCATGCCTCAATCCCTTCTCCTCCATTCACCTCTCAGATCTGGGGCACACACGCACACCTGCCCAGCATGAGTTTTAAGTTACTGGGTCCAAGACTCAAACTGTGCTCAACTACGTGGGAGTCCCGTGACATAACCTTTATGTTATGTCTGGTCGCAAGGGTAGTGTATTTTTAGTGATAAAAACATCTTTAAGCTTTTTATTATAAGTATTCAGTCTATTGTCCGAACGAGTGATTGGCATTTCAGATTTAACCTCAAATTCGTGAAATGATCCCAATTCCACCACAGGCTGGGGTTGAACCAGGAGACTGGCCCGCTGAGGAGGTGCAGACCCATGCTACACTTTGTGCTGTCGAGGCTCATGGGAAGGCGCTGGCTCGGCACTTCCGTCTTCCTGGGCAAGGAGGCTTCGTGGGTGTGTCCGTGACACTGGCTGGCTAAGGCTGGGGGTACGAGGCAGTGTGCAGGCGCTGTTAGGGGTCTCTCTCTCTCCGTCTTTCTGTCTTTTTGTCTCACTTTCTCATGGAAGAAATAAATATTTTAAAAAAGGGAGTTAGTCATTAAAAAAGAAAAACCAGGGGATTATGAATCTTCTTGATAAGTAAACACAAATGTTGTTTTTAAAACCATCATACTAGGGGCCAGCAGTTGGTGTGGTGGTTAAGGACACTGGTCTCCAGTATGGCTGACTGTGGTTTGAGTCCCAGATCTGGTGGCTTGCTTTCTAACTTTCTCTCTCTGTCTCTGTTCTACTCTGTCAAATTAAAAATAAATACATAAAGTCAAATAAAATAATTAAAAGAAAACTCATCAAACTAAGGGGTATACTTTTTTTTATAAAAAATTAATAAACCTCTAAATGGAATCATTAAAATATATCTAGACAGAGAACTCTTGCAAGTACATTTTAAACTGTGTTTTGGAAGGCAATGTAGAGATCCCATACAAATCTTCCAAAGCACACTGTACTTGCTGTAAGTAAGGTCCTTGTGGGTAGGTGGAAGGACAGTGCGGGGTGGGGGTGAATGGAGTAATAATAATGATGATAATAATAGCGGAGAGTGGCAGCCATTGGAGTAATAAGATGAATGCATTGCGGGTCTCTATGGCAACGAGGGACCTCAGCTGTCTTTCGCGGGTTCCAGGTAAGATAACCCAAGGCCAAGTCTCACTCTGCTTGAGCAAGTGTCTCACTGCCACCTCGCCTCGCCCCAGGACTCCAGTTGATGAGATAGTACCAATCACTTTAGTTGAATCTAAATCTCAAATGTACCTATCAAGAAATGCTTCTCTAATAAAAGCTATCAATTTTCTTTTAAAAAGAATGATACATTTAGGATGAGCGCTGAAGACAGACACACATCCGCGCTGTCCACGGCTCACTCAGGGCTGCAGGGCTATTACACAGGGGTCAGTAGGCTCGTTCTGTAGCTAAGTTTGGGAAGGTGTTTCTCGGGGCTGGGGTCAGTGTTTCAGAAAGGTTCCCCGGCTGCTTCCCCCATGCTTCCTCTTGGTGTCCTCTTTGCCACTAACTAGCTCTGGGTCGTAAACGATCTCCTTCAGCTCACCTGCTGTAGTTTCTGACTTGGGAATGGGGGAGGCGCTCCCTTACCCCAGCCCTTCATCGGGATGAGATGAGCTAAGTATACCAGAAACCCCGAACACTCGATCGTAGTGTAATCACCTTGTTATTTCACCTTAGGCAGTATTTTCCCTTCTAGTTTTGACATCTTATCTAGTAACCTCAGGAAAATATTTCTGCTCACTTTATCCCACTTACAGTTTTTAAACACTTACTTTTCCCTCCACTAGATGGTAGCGGGCATGAACAAAGGCACGCATTTCTTAAGAGGTCTTGGTGGTTTTAGACCATGGCTGTGAAAGTGATGGAGGGAACAGGCATGAGCTGACTTTGGCCTAGGAGAAGCAGTCTCAAGCACTGAGAGCTGCTCTTAGACAGCCAGCCACACTGCAGCGGGTGGTGGCGGACAGGCAGGCCTGTCTCAGGCCCTGCTTTGTCTGTGATTAGCTGAGTACTCAGGAAAATGTGTTTGATTTTGCTGAGAGTAATGAGCATCTTTAAAGAGTGTATTTAATGGGGCATTGAAGCAAGGCCAGTCATAGCTCACAGACTTATCCGAGTATTCGATTTAGCACCTGAAGAAAGTCAGTGCAGTCCCTAGCGCTTAGAGGCCACTTGGAAATGGTGGCTCTTAATATTGTCGTTGTCGCTAGTAGTGTAATAATAGTCGTCAGCATGGTACTGGTGTGTGGCCCAGCGCACAGAAGCGCGTGGACGTTCGGGGTGTGATTTCTCTCTGTGGTGCCCTGTCACAGGAATGGTGTTGGCTGGCAGCAGGGCAGGCTTTAACTGCAAATGGTGGGACAGTACATGATGAGCAGGGACAGCAGTAAGTACACAGTGAATCTGGAAACAGCTAAGCACACACAGGGGTATTCAAAACTCATGGAAGTGTGCATTAGAAATACAACTACGGACGATTTCGATTGTTTTGCACTAAGGTAAGCTCATACGGCAATCCCACTTTTCCACTCTGAACTTTTTGAGTCCTCACACATGTTACAATGCACATACGCCGCCAGCCATGTCAAGTGTTGAAACAGCTACAGGAAGAGAACACGTAACAAAGCACGGAAACACACTTCAGGATAAAACATCGATGGCGCGGTGTCTGGAAAGACGGTTCGTGGCAGGTTGGTTTATTACCTGTGCTGGAGCGACTAGTTCCAGCTCTGCAGCCGACTCAGAATTCAGGGCGCTCTTCCCGCCACTCAGTTCGGGCTGAGACCTGTTCTCCGAGGACCTGGAGGGAGGCATTGCAGAAATTAGTGTACACCCAGAGACAAACTCGCCTGGAAATTAAGTTAATTTGGACCACGGAAAGCCACGATAACAAAGCTCTCATCAGATTCTGATGAGAAAGGTAAGTTTTATGTGTTTCTATTATGACAGTCACTTTCAGAATTTAAGTGCTTATAACGTGCTGACTATTATTCTTTCATTAACTTAGAATTCAGTTCAATTTTGAGTAAATAATACATAAATGCAATACCATTTTTTGTTACCGAAAGTTCTGCTTTATTTAAAAAATGTGAGGTTTTTTTGGGGGGGACTTCTTACAAAGGATCTCAAGTTCGATTTCATCTTTCTGTGGAACTTAAAATATCTTAAACAGTAAAAAGGAGACAAAATGGTTCCCTTTAGGAAGCTTCAAGAACACGACAGACACAGGAGGCAGGTTCCTCCTGGGATCTGCGAGCGGAGGGGAGGACTGAGAAAGCCACAAAAGGGTGACACGACCAGAAAACCACCCGCGCCGTGTGTTGGATACACTCACATACACACATGAAGGTACTTCAAGAAGTTCATGGAAAAATAGAATTGAGGTATGAGTTTATTTTGATGCAAAAAAATCGAAGTCCACCCATAGTTTTCTAATATACCTCTTCCATGAACTTTCGAAAGGCAAAATAGCACGTATGAGCCCGCCATGTCTACGCAGTTTAGTTACATGCCAGACACAGCAACATCAAGCCATGAATTTCCCTGAGTCCTTATCGACTGACTGATTTTTTTTTTTTTTAGAGGTTTTTGCTATAGGGCGTGTGCACTCACCAGAAAGAGAGAGATAGAGAGACAGAAAGCGAGAAATCACCTCCCCCCCCGCCCCAGGGGTGATTTCCCTTCTCCTCCTTTCTCCTCTTGGAATCTTGGGCACGCACGCATACATGCGAACCGCGGCTGGCTACATGGGAGTCCAGCGACATAGCCATTACGCCAACTGCTGGTCCCTCGACTGACTGATGTTTTGACTATTAGCATGAAATAATTTAGAATCTGCAGCCACAGCAGTTAACCTTGCTGTACACGGCACCAGGTACCTGGATCCTGGACTTGTGGCTATTCCAGTACGGGGACAGAACACTCCAACCCCAGCACGAGATGCTGCCTCCGTCAGGAACCCTTACCACAGCAGCTCTTTCGACCCAGCCCTGGACGAGCAGGATTTCCTCTCTGCCATCGGCTGTCCCTTGCTGTTTCGATCTCCGTGGAATTTAGCATCCTCCCATTTTTCCAGCTGTGTTTGAATATCTGCTCAGGAGAGAGGGACGGGGCAGGGGGAGTGAGGTGCAGAGGAGGGACTGATTACAATCCAGAAGTCTGACCCAAGAGCCCTTAGCTCAAGCAGCTCTCTCAAGTCCCAAAATCAACCTTTCCTTTTAAATGTTGCATGAAAATTAATTAAAACATGCAGTGAAATAAAAAATGAGACCCATTAAAATAAATGGGATTGCTCTTATGGTTACAGCAAGAGGCTGTCCTGCCTGCCTATCTCAGGAGCCCTGCACACTGCAGGGCCGAGAGAGAGCTGGGGACCCCTCAGGGATTTGTGTGAGCACTGTCCTTTAGCCTCCACTAGGGGTGGCGTCCAGCGCCATTTCCACGTTTCTAGAAAGGAATTCTGTTTAAGGAGATGAATTTCCATATTCAACGGAGGTGGGAGAGACCGGAACATTTTTCACAGCCTTTTTATAAACTGCTGAATTTTCCACCACAGGAAGTACGCAGAGCGGAGACGGGGAGAAGGGGGCGGTGAGGGAGCCAGGAGAATGCTAGGCCCACCCTGCAAGGCGAGGCTCAGCTCTGCAGTTACCCCACTGGGTTCCATCCCAGGTGCATGACTGACAGTCGCTTTTCATTTAGAAAGAGAGGTTTGCAATTTACATTCTCCAAGTCTCTCCCCCTTTTCTAAAAAAGTGATGAAATATATAAAATGAAGTCTGCCATGTAAGTGACGTCAGATACGCAACGCAGTGGCATTAGGACATGGCACACCTCACAGCCTGGCACACTCCGCACTCCCCAGACGGAAGCTCTGCGCCCTCTCACCACCCCCGCCCCTCCTCTCAGACCCGGTGCTTTGGTCCTGCTCTGGCTACATGGAGCCGACTGCTCTCTGAACGCCATGGAAGTGGAATCACAGGATACTCTCCCTTCTGTGTCCTGGGTTATCTCACTCAGCAGTGCCTTCGCGGTGGCGTGTTACACGGCGTGTGTCAGTAATCCACTCCTCTTGAGAGAGATCTTAGCTAGAGGGCACGTGTGCTCACCACAGACAGAGACAGAGCCAGAAAGCAGGAAATCGCCCTCCGGGGGATGGCCATGGTGCAATCCCTTCTCCACCCTCCTCTTGGGATCTTGAGCATGCACGCACGCCTGGTGTGAGGTGTGAGGGCTAACTCTGGGTCCAGACTAACTGTGCTCCACTACGTGGGAGTCCAGCGACAGCCATTACACCATCCGCTGGTCCCCCACCCCTCTCTAAGTCTGAAAATCGTTTATTGTATTTTTTTTTTTTTTTAAATCCCTTTCTGTTTCGATCTCCGTGGAATTTAGCATCCTCCCATTTTTCCAGCTGTGTTTGAATATCTGCTCAGGAGAGAGGGACGGGGCAGGGGGAGTGAGGTGCAGAGGAGGGACTGATTACAATCCAGAAGTCTGACCCAAGAGCCCTTAGCTCAAGCAGCTCTCTCAAGTCCCAAAATCAACCTTTCCTTTTAAATGTTGCATGAAAATTAATTAAAACATGCAGTGAAATAAAAAATGAGACCCATTAAAATAAATGGGATTGCTCTTATGGTTACAGCAAGAGGCTGTCCTGCCTGCCTATCTCAGGAGCCCTGCACACTGCAGGGCCGAGAGAGAGCTGGGGACCCCTCAGGGATTTGTGTGAGCACTGTCCTTTAGCCTCCACTAGGGGTGGCGTCCAGCGCCATTTCCACGTTTCTAGAAAGGAATTCTGTTTAAGGAGATGAATTTCCATATTCAACGGAGGTGGGAGAGACCGGAACATTTTTCACAGCCTTTTTATAAACTGCTGAATTTTCCACCACAGGAAGTACGCAGAGCGGAGACGGGGAGAAGGGGGCGGTGAGGGAGCCAGGAGAATGCTAGGCCCACCCTGCAAGGCGAGGCTCAGCTCTGCAGTTACCCCACTGGGTTCCATCCCAGGTGCATGACTGACAGTCGCTTTTCATTTAGAAAGAGAGGTTTGCAATTTACATTCTCCAAGTCTCTCCCCCTTTTCTAAAAAAGTGATGAAATATATAAAATGAAGTCTGCCATGTAAGTGACGTCAGATACGCAACGCAGTGGCATTAGGACATGGCACACCTCACAGCCTGGCACACTCCGCACTCCCCAGACGGAAGCTCTGCGCCCTCTCACCACCCCCGCCCCTCCTCTCAGACCCGGTGCTTTGGTCCTGCTCTGGCTACATGGAGCCGACTGCTCTCTGAACGCCATGGAAGTGGAATCACAGGATACTCTCCCTTCTGTGTCCTGGGTTATCTCACTCAGCAGTGCCTTCGCGGTGGCGTGTTACACGGCGTGTGTCAGTAATCCACTCCTCTTGAGAGAGATCTTAGCTAGAGGGCACGTGTGCTCACCACAGACAGAGACAGAGCCAGAAAGCAGGAAATCGCCCTCCGGGGGATGGCCATGGTGCAATCCCTTCTCCACCCTCCTCTTGGGATCTTGAGCATGCACGCACGCCTGGTGTGAGGTGTGAGGGCTAACTCTGGGTCCAGCATAACTGTGCTCCACTACGTGGGAGTCCAGCGACAGCCATTACACCATCCGCTGGTCCCCCACCCCTCTCTAAGTCTGAAAATCGTTTATTGTATTTTTTTTTTTTTTTTGGAGAGGTTTTTGCTATAGTGCGCTTGCGCTCGCCAGACAGACAGAGAGAGACAGAGAGATAGAAAGCAGGAAATCACCCCCCAGGGGGGATGGCCACGCCGCAATCCCTTCTCCTCCATTCTCCTCTCGGGATCTTGGGCACGCACGCACACGCGCCCAGCGTGAGTTTAAGTCACCGGGTCCGGGACTCGAACCGCGGTCGACTACGTGGGAGTCCAGCGACATAGCCATTACGCCAACTGCTGGTCCCCATTTACTGTATTTTTATACCACACTTTGTTTATCCGTTCATCTAGTTATCACTGGGTACTTGGGCTGTTTCTACCTTGTGATTGTTTGCAATGCTGCTATTTTCCAAAGTGCTTTTAAACAAGCATTTTCCTAACTTCATAGAACATATTCTGAGTCTGTCTCTCTAATAGATATATATATATATATATGTTTATACATACATACACATGTAGGTCCTCTCAAATATATGTAAGTACATACACCCATGTGTAAATACGTACACACACACACCAGTCTGTCACAGCCAGGAGAGGCACGTCTTCCTTGGCTTTTGAACTCCTGTCTGTTCCTTCCCCCAGGAAGGCAGAACTGTGGTGGCTCCGGGCTGAGCGCCAGGCTGTCCTCTCCCAGGGGCACGAGGAGCAGGGGGTGTGGAAGTGTGGCCTTCGAGGTTCACTAGAGCTGGACTCACAGCTCTTCTCTCCCTAACTGGGATGCTGGGCGAGGCCCCCCCAGAACAGGAATCGGTGATGACTGAGCGAGGTCCCTGTAGGGCACGTGGTCCGTGGTCATCGGGAGGCGACTCCGAGGCGGCCGCTACCTCACACCACATACCCCATATGCTGCTGGGGCAGCCCAGGCTGTCTGGGCCTGGCTGGGGCGATTTACCCATGCGTGCCCCCCCAGCTCTAGACTGAGCGCTTCTAGAGAGCAGCTTCGTGCTCTGCCCTTACCTGTAGCTCTAGCGTCGAGCATGGTCATGTAAGAACTCGATGCGAGCGGGCTGAGCACTAAATGAATTAGCACCAGTCATACAGCGGAGCTCCCCCACAGAGAGAAGCTGCACCCCGCCCAGTCTCCCGCACGGAGCTCCTCTTCTGTACCCCGTCACCAGTTCTGCCCCTGGTGGCACCGTGTATGCCCCAGCAAAGGCCAGCCGCGGCCACAAGCCGTTGCCTTACCGAGGTCCAAGGCCGTCTCCGGGGCTCTGAGGGGCTGGCCTCTCTGCTCGGTGTCCGCGCTGATCCGGTCCGGTCCTTCGGCCTTTTTCTTGAGGGATGAGGTTTTTGATGAGGCTTCTGACTTCTTGGCTTTGGTTTGGGTGTGAGCGACTGGTTCGCTCAGGTCAAGGAGGTCTAGGCCGGTGGTCAGGACTGTGGGAAAGGGAAGGGGTCAGCATGAGCCCGTTCACTGCTGCAGCTAAAGACAGATTTCATGGGGTGCAGAAGAACTTGGGCTTTGCAGGAGGGGTTAGAAACGCCGGGCTGAGTCAGTTCACTACCGGTTTATACAGACAGCATGAGTGTGGCATCTTACTGCATGGGCCTGGGCCTGGCTTGGCAGACGGAGGACAGAATCAGACCAGCCTCCGTGGCGACAGAGCTTCGAGTGGAATGAAATGGTGAGATCGAATCTCAGTCCAGGAAATATTCCTTAATGCTCTGCTTTATGGAGTGGAGGTCGATTTTAGACAGCGGTTTTCTGGAGAAGGGTCAATCTCAGAGACTTAGCGAAGTCTCTGAATATCTTCGTGTTTTGATTTTAAGCAATAAAGTTAATCATCTTTTATTTAATTAAGCAGTTCAGTCAGAAAATAGCAAGCTGTTGGGCTCACTGGAGAGGCGTTTCATATGCCATGGTTGATGAGTAGGTACACAAGCTAACGTCCCTGCTATTAACATGCAAATTTAATCTCAATGTAACCAGCTGCAACCCTGTTACACTTTAACTTGGAGCAGGCTGGTTACCTTGTATCAAATACTCTAACAAACACAGAAATAGTAATTTGTCCAAAAGCAAACTAGGCAAGTGAGAATTAAAAAGGTAATCTTTGGAGCCAGCAGGTGGTATGGTGGTTGGAAAACTGGACTCCCACGTGGCCAACCATGGTTCAAGTCCCAGATCTGGTGGTCGCCATGTGGGGTCGTGGCTGTGGGGTCCCGCTGCCAGCAGGAAGTCCTTCTCTTACTTCCGTCTGACCCCAGCAGCGCCCCGAGCAAGGCTGCGGTTTTCCACTTACCCGGGAGCACCGTGCATCCTCTTCCCTTTAGTTCACAGACCCGTTTGGTGTCTCGATGCCATAGAGCCATTGTGCATGGAACAAGGGGAGTGGCTATGCCTGCCGGGGTTCAAATCCTGGTCCTGCCAGGTACAGGCTCTGTGTCTTTGGCAAGCTCCATACTTTCTGTGAACCTTAGACTGTGCCTACCTAAAATAAGGATTAAATTCCACAGAACGCAGCATTAAGTGTAGGTCTTCTAAAGCCCTTAGAGCAGTGCTAGAACCATAGTCAGAATTCAAAGGGATACTTATTTCTACTGGAAGGGTCTTCCTGAAGCACTCGTGCGTGAAGCGGACTGAAAACATAAGGCTGGAATGATCATAAAAGCTCGTGAGCATGTGCAATGCTGTAAGTGCTCACGCGTGTTTCTTGTTTAATCCATCTAAACGAGCTGTTCATATTCTGGTATTACACGAGAAACTCGAGATTGGCGCTGTCGGGCATCTGCTCCAAAGTCGGAGCGGGCAACGGTGTGCCCCGCGTGCTCGTCTGCAAGCCCGGGGCCTGTGGGGATGTCCCCTTGCCACGTCGTACAGCAAGAGGGGCTGGGGGATGTGATTAGCTGAAAGATTTTGAGATGGGATGATTGATTTGACTATCTGGGTGGGCCCAGTGTAATTACAAGAGCTCTTAGAAAAAGACTCGGGAGAGTCAGGTTCTGAGGAGACAGAGGAGAGGAACCGAGGGAGAACGGCCGGGTTTTGAACATGGTTCTGAAAGGCCGGCTGCTGGCTTTGAGGGTGGGGGAGCCTAAGTCCCTGAGTTGTAGGCGCTGACCTCACACTCAGGGTCGGGAGATGTGTTCTCTCCCGGAGTGCCCAGCAGGGGCGTGGCCCGCGGATACCTTGATTTAAGACTCTGACTTCCAGAGCTTCAGAATAATAAATGTGAACTCTGCCTGTTGCAGGGCACGTGAGCCTGGCAGAGAGAGGAGAGAAAGGAGAGAGAGAGGCTCCCCGCACACACCCGGGAGGGATTTCCGGCACGCGCACAGGCAGCTGTGTGTCTTCCGAGTCAGCTGGTTGGCCGCGTGGGACCCGGCTGCCCCAACCTGGCCACCCGCTGGCCCCCTGAGGAGCTGAGCTCCAATCCCCTGGTCAGGAGAGTGAGTCTGACCCGATACCGTCTGATGGTGTTGGGTTTCCTGCCTCAAATATACCGAGTGCCATCTTATTTTCTTGATTACTCAAAATGATGGTTGAATTTGGAAAATGATCGCTTTGGTGTGTTATAAAAAAAGTCAATGGAAAGAGTCAAGAATACTATTTTTACTTAATATATGACAGAAACAGTCAGGGTTTACATGGTATTAAGCATTTTTCATAGATAACTTCATTTTATCATCCCAGGAAATCTGGGAGACACTGAGTTTTTATTATAGTGGATAGATGAGGAGACTGAGGCTTAGGTATGAAAATTGCCCACAGAGAGAGAGCAGGGACTTGAACTCATAGTTTGACTCCAGAACTGCAGGCTGTACCAACATACAGGGCTCTATTTCATTTTGGTTACGTTTGTCATTTTTAGCATTTTGGAAAAAATCACAATTTGTTCAGCGATTTTCTTCACTTACTTAAAGTATAATGAAAATATACAAGTCAACAGCAAGCGGAGGCCAGGACAGCAGAGCGGAATGCATTTAAGGAGCAGAGTGGTGTTCTCTTCCCCATTAAATTCTGTTCCGCACCCCGCTCAGCTTGGCTCTTTGATTGGCAGCACCGTTTCCCATTCTTGTTGGGATATGTGGGTGCCGACCAGATGAAATCAGCGCGGAGAGGCTGCCGGCTGGCGAAGTTCAGGCCAGTGGTGCTCTGAATTCACTCTGAATTAGTACTTACTGAGCGTCTTCAGAAAGTTTGTGGGAAATACATATTTTATGGAAAATGATACATGCATTTTAAAATGTTTTTGTACCAAAATACACCCGCACTTTAATTCCATTCTTGCGCAGACTTTCCTAAGTCTCTGTGTGTGTTCTAGGCACTGAGCAGACGACGACTACCTGAGCACGTTTAGCTTCAGAAGAACGTTCAAATAAATTGTTGTAGGAGGGGGCAAGGGACAAGCTTCCATGGCAGAAAGTGGGACTGGATTTATATCATCCCAGGGTCGTCAGACATTTTAATCGTCGTTTAAATCTACCTGAAAAGACGTCCGCTATACAACGTGTTTCCAGAAATAACTGGGTCACTACCCAGAACCTGACTAATCCTCTCTGAGGGCTGGTTCTATAGCCTGCTGGCAGCAGATCCCGCGTGGCCAACCACACGGCTGAGTCTCAGACTGGCGGCCTGAGAAACAGGCTGGGTGGACGTGCATGCCTGCCCACTCTGGGGAGGAGGGGGACATGGTGCCATGACCGCTCTCCATGGGAAGTGCACCTGCCCGTCGCTACTGGGCACACAACACAAAGTCCCTGGAAATAGATGCCTTCGCTTTAAAGATTTCTGCGGTGGTGTGACTAGGATGTGAAGATGTAAATTTGGGAAGACACACAGAAGCGGTTCCTCTGACAGTGGTACTTACCTTCAGCTAAACCGACCCGGTCAGGTACACCGCAGCCTCTCACATGATAAAAAGTGACTATGGGTCATGCTGAGTAGTGCATACTTTAAATCTTCCTCTGGTTGTCAGCACTGTTCCTGATTACGTTGCGCCGTTCTGCCCGGCTGCAGGGGCAGGCGGTGTGTGTACCCTGCAGGGCTGGGCCGGCTTCCGGCCCTGACCGACCAGAAACGTGGCGGGAGGGACGGCAACACGACAAGCTCTTGCTGAGGTGCTTTTCCTGCCTTTCCCTCTCCAGCAAGTAAACTTAAAAAGTGGATGGTGGGGAAAATGTGCATTTTACTATTAATAGTTAGAGTTAGACAGTGAAAACACTGGAGCGAAAAGTGATGGAATTACCAGCTGTATTGGACGTCACTGGCCTTGCCACTGCCTCCGGTTTGGTCTCACAGAGAAAGTCGTCGATGGAGGGGCTCAGGAGGGGTCTGCTTTCTTGCTGCTCATTCATTAGCTGAGGACAAACGGACACAGGCGTCACGGGCTTCGTTAGACCACAGAGCCAGACGGGCTAAAATGCAGCCTGGCAACAAAATGAGAGTAGCAAGCCTATCAAACGTAAATAAATAATAAATAAATAAATCAAGATGAGGGCAAGAAAGAAAAATAAAAATACCGAGGGGTAGGGAGTGAGCCTTCTAGCACTGCCAGGGCACTTCTGATGCAGCCAACTTTAAGTTTTAAAGCTCCGGCCTTCTTTCCCCTTCCTGGACTAGTTTCAGAATTGTTCTCGGATTTCAGTATGGAGTAAATGACAGCTATCCGTGACAGCGGCTAGGGGCTGACCACACTCTCACCTGAACGGGAAGCTCTTTCCTACCGTAACCTGAACCGTGGTTTTAGATTCCCTGGTGCTAGGACCGGTCAGTGCAGGTAAACGAAACCACGGATGGCTCTGCACTCGGAGAAGCACTTCCTTCCTTTCTTAAAGAGCTCATGTCACCTAAAACAGGCCCTACGGTTCTTTAGAACGAGCTTGTAGTGCATTACAAACAGGATCTTGGGAGGGTGGAAAATATTATTATATTAATTCTACACGTATCCTGTAGGTAAGTTTGTGGCAATCTACATGTAAAATGGATTTCTGAAAATTAAGTAACATTTTCCCATTAGTTTAGCGATCTCTCATCTGGTTTTTAGTGGATATCTAATTATTGGTGTTAGTCAACTAATGACTTTCGGTTATTCTGCCTTGAATCCAGACTTGTTCAAATTATATCTCTACAGTTGAAGGAGAAAATACACTTATACATAAGAGGTTAATCTTTCAAGTAACTGCCCTTTTCTTTGTGAGTTTTTATATTGACCTTTCCCAAAATAAGCATATAATCTAATTTTCCACCTGTTATAAGAAGAAGATACGTCTTAAAACTTAAACATTTTTAAGTTCTTGTGTAAAGTTATATTTTCGGAGTTGTAGACGTTTCCGCATTAAACGACTTACACGACTACTCCCGTTCGTTGTCTCTTGGGGAGTGCCAATACTTTCGTAGCTTGGAGCTAGCGGGAGGAGGGGGCCCAAGGAGTGGTGGACATGGGAGGAACACGCCACCCTATTACTTCTGAAAGAGGAGTGCGGAGGTATTTAGGGGTCGTTTGGGGAGTGGAAACAAGAGACACGATTGGATCTGTGACATTCACGCCACTGGTTGAGCGTGGATGGGAATCAGAGCTCCTCTGGAATCGAGGGTTTTGATACGAGTTGGTGGCTGGCTCTCACCCGTTATTTGGGAGCGTTATTGAGGGATCAGCACTGGCATCCCTTCCTGTTCGGTGTCCTGTCGCAGGGGTGGGCGTTTCTCTGGTTACTGTAAGCTTCGGTGCTACTGTTTATGAAGGGCACAGACCTCACGAGGAGTCAGGTTACCCAAGGTCTGTTCTGGTTTTAACCTTAGGAGTGATCAAACCGAGGAGTGAAAAGCTCTTAGTCCACTTACGTTTTGTTGTTTGATTTTGAACATCCATGGGCATCATTTATCCATTTATACTGAGATATTTTTAAATGTCGAGGGACTATGAGGCTTCCATATTTCTGCGATAAAATATATATTTGAATTTTGTAGATGTCATGGTCTGTTCGAGTTTAGGAGTGATTTGTAATATTTATCGGCATAAAAGCCAAAGTTATTAGCGGGAAATGCAGTTAAAAGCACTGGCATAGAGTATAATGTACCAGAAAATGAAGAAATGTCTAAACGTGAGTGATTTCATGAATACTTCTGAAAATGCATTAGTGCCCCAGAGTCTGTATCTCATTTAGTTAGCTCGTGGATGACCAGCGGCTTCCAAAGGCTGCGTATTTCCGACCGGATCTGCGCTACGGTTGCTTCCGTAGGTCCTGCTCATTTTCCAGGAGGGCTCTGTGAGTAGACGCCCTGATGTGGCCCAGGATGCCCCCACTGGCTGGGACGTGGCGGGCATCAGAGCCCGCTGCGCATGAGCGTTCCCGGAGGAGGGCGCGCTGCAGCAAAGGCCTTCTAGAGGCGCGCTTAGGGCAGGGCGTTGGGTCCTGGCCTCGGTCCCAGGCCTCACTCGCCCACTGGCTAACTGCATGGTGCAGACTACACCAAACCAATACGACGAGGTTTAAAAACTGTAAGCATATGTATGATGTCATCTCTCTCTTTGACAGCCATGTTTCTCTGAAGAAAAGTCTAATTTCCTTGACAGGTAACCAAGACTAACTGAGTCCTCTTAGTCATGGTTTTGAGCAGTATCAGTTGTTACGTAGGAGAACATGAACTACAGTCATGGGATGTTCCCGTGCACTCTTTATTTAAATTAGATTTCCTTTTTTTTTTTTTTTTAAAGAAAGGAGACTAAGAATTATCCCAAAATTACAACTGTGTATGCATGTAAGAAATAGACCTAAATTTATTCCAGTTTTAGAAGGTCTGGGTCTTAGATTTCTGCAGATACTTTTAATTGTATGCACTGAAAAACCATGTCCTAAATTTGTTTAAAAAGTTGTCTACAGAAATATCTAAACGGAAAGACAAAGGGAGGGCACTCCAGCAAGTCCTGCTTTTCCTGTAGCAACAGGACTTTTGTTCTTGTTCTTGAGCCTTTCTCCTTATTCAAACTTCAGACACATTTTCTGGGGAAAGTGCCTTTAGCATGCTCAGATTTACTCCACACAGGGAGAGAGATGCCCAGAGAAGGTCTCTCAGGACCATGGCGCAGGGCAGAGAGGCCGGCTGCTCTCCGCCTCCCCCTGTGAGGTCTGCCTTGCTCCTAGTCAGGGCTCGCCCGGTGGGACCGATGGAGCCCTTAGGCCGCCAACTCCTGTTCCTGTGTCCTGTGGCTGCGTCTACAGGTGCACATCAAAGGGGGGAACTCACTACCTTCCAGTCAGCGATTTTCAAGCGGGGACGTCGTTCACTGCTGGGAGTAGGGTGAGGGAGAATGGGAGGGCCTGTGGGGACAGGGTGAAAGGCCAGTCACAGACAGACAGAGGTCATTAAAACTGGAGTGACGGTTTTTAGGTTTTGGTGAAGATATGGAAGACGGATCAGGAGATATTTGAAGGTCGAGTTTTTCCTATCGTCCTGAGGCCGAGGCTCTGGCTCACGCCTGTTTGCGTCCTTACAGTGTCAGTGAGATGGTCAGCAAGGACCGTCGGAGACAGTGACGGGGACACGGAAATGCCAGTGTGTCTACCTCAGACACTCCACTTTGAATGATGGCTTCAGCTGTGTGAATTTCAGAATGATCATTTTGGCCACAGGAAGTCTCATTTTATTTTTATTTGTACAGATTAGAATAGCTTTTCAAACCAGTTTATGTCTTTTCTTTTGATGTCTTGAAAATAGATAAATATTTTAGGCTATAAAGGAAAATTTCATGCTGAACAAATCCCCACGTAGTCCTCCAAACCTTACTTCCAAATTGTATGCCATTCTTTCTTTCTTTCTTTCTTTCTTGGTAGAACTGAGGTTTATTGATCCTTTGAATTACTTCCTTTAGTTTGAAAATACTTTCTGAACTTCCCTAATTTACTCTTTGGATAAGACTACATTGATGTTATCAAACAGTGAAAAGCAAGTCAAAGATTCCTTTTTTATGGACTAAATTGGAGATTGCGATCTTGGTCAGCCAAATTCTCCTTGCTGTTACCACAGCACTGCCCAGTGGCTGAGGTCTCCGCTTCAGTTTATTTTCATTTTACAATTTTCCTGTTTATCCTCCTCCAGCCTCTTCTCAATGTTTCTATCAGAGATCTCTTTAGAGGTGACCCGTTCTCACTTCTCCTCCAGGAGCCCTTCCAGCCCGCACACTGTGTAGGCTCTCACCAGGTGGGCCTCCTCCAGCACTCTGGCCCACCCCACCCAGGGTCGGGAGTCCCTCCTCTCTCCCTTCCCATTGGGCTGCGACCCCCTTGAGGGTAGAGACCATCCAATTATTTCTCGCACTCCGTAGTTGCAGTTTAATAAATGTGGACTGATCTCAAACAGTGCGATGCATGTTACGTTACACAGAAGAATAACTGAATGGGCATCCTCAGTTCCATACTGGGGCTGATCAGAGGCCAGAGGTTCTCTGACTACCGATTCCCTCCCAGGTTTCAACTACACGTCTAAGTCTGTGCTCCCAGTGTCACATATTTTAAAAGGGTGGAAACATAGTAGTACCTAAAGGGACGTTTGCAAGAGCAAGGGCCCAGGGCATTAAGGCTTCTCCTGCCAAGAAGCCTAGAACGGGAAGAGTGACTGCCTGGTGAGAAACGCTGAATAAAGGTCTTGGCCTGCCCCCGCCATCCCACACCTGGAAGAAAGGCATGGACCCTTGTGAATGGGAGGCTGGGGACACTTCAAGACATAAACCTTGCACCCCTCTGAGTGACCTCAATTTAGAGACTCAAACCTGGAGAATCTAAGGGAAAACTCCTCCGTGACCCATGGACATAGAAACAAGGAAACAAGATAGATGAGACTTTCATGTTTGAGTCCCTCATCAATGGGATCAAAAAGACCATTGAACCTTTGTATCTTCCTTGCAAATGCCCAGCTGCATAGCCCAGCGGATTTGTGACTGGCAGCGACATGGCCAGTTCAGCACTCAACTCTGTTGGCTCTTTCTTGCATTGAACAAAGGCAGGCCACACCATCCCGCTCTGATGGGTTACTGTTGGTCTTAAAACTTTCCCTGAAAATATATTTGTTTAGTTCAACTTGAATATTTCTAATTTCAGTATTTAAAAATTAAGTTATATAATCTATAAGTTACAGGAGACTAACCAAGGCGAAAGAAAAATATTTTGTTTTTTAAATACTACCTGTAACTTAAACTCTAATGTAGTTTATATATATATATTTTTTTTTAACTTAAATCTGGATTTATCATTAAATAATTACGTGGATCAGATATTTCATTCACAACTGCAAAGTTTTAGGATAATTTTTATCATTAAAAATTAACCCCAAAGCAAAATTTTAGATGATAAAATAATGTCTATAACAGACAATAATCCATTATTACATAACTCTACGTTTTAGATCGATGCTTTTGAGTTGTTATTTAAAGTAAAATAGCCTGTTTTTAGATTTAAGCATTTTAATACTTAATAAATAATCTTAAAAGTTGAAACATTGCAGTTAATTAGTTAAAAAACAGTGGACAAACACTTCATATTTGCAGTGCTGGTTTAAAAACTGCAATAATAGGAGCACGCAGATGGTGTCGTGGGTACCTGCTGGACCCCCAAGTGGCTGAGTCACAGAGTCGGCGACTTGAAACTCACGCTGGGCACTGACGTGTATGTGCCCAAAATCCCGAGAGGAGAGTGGAGAAGAAGCTATTGTGGCATGGCCACCCCGGGGAGGTGATTTTTTGCTTTCTGTCTGTCTCTCTGGTGAGCACATGTGGCTTATGGCAAAAATTTCTCTCTAAAATTAATTGTAATAATAGGTCATGCCTTTTACCTCATTAAAGTAACAGAAAATTTTAAGATAGTTTTGTTTCTATATGAACAAAAACACAAATATGCTTTTAATTGGATATCTTTGTGGTTTTAAAATTCCTTATTTGTGATATTGTTGATTTAAAATATTTGACATTTATTAAGTAGATTTGCATTTATAATTTTGTAATGAAACTGTCCTTATTAGCCCTATCCCAGTTTAGAAATTTGTGCCAAACCTGTCAAAATGGTGACCACACTGTGGGAGGCTCCCTGGCAGCAGAAGTCAGTGACTGACTCTGTCTACTGAAAGGCTCGGCGGGATTGTTACCGTGCATGTCTTAAATATTCAGACAGCTAGAGCTGTGTCTTGGGAACTCTGACGACGGACAACCATTTCCCATGGCTCCTAGTACTAATGCCTGCCTTACCCCTGGTTCCTGTGTGTAGGTCCCAGTGGATCTTCTTGTAAAGGGTAACCTCATGATAACTTTCAACTCTTTGTCTTGACCTGAATGTCAACCAACCAACTTCAAATATTTTCCTTGCAGTTCTTGTGAACTGTGAATCTACTCATAGGAAAATTAACAGTGACTGCTGCTTACAGCCTGGGTGGCCAGCAGGAGACCTAGATGGACCATCGCTTCCAGAGGGTAATGGAAACTCTCACAAGGCCATGTTTAGCAGCCTTGAGACTTCCTCTCCTCAAAGACATTAATCTTTTAATCTTTATCAGACCCAAAATTAAATCATATTGAGAAGGTGTGGGAACAAGTAGAAAAACAAAGGCTGACTTGAAAAAAATAAAAAACAAGAAGACACCCAAATGGTCTTTTCAGGAGACTCTGCTCACTGGATAGAAATGAATGAACTATAGTTCACTAAAAAAAGTATCCAGGAGGTGTGTGCAGAGGAACATTTCTAAAGGTTATTTATGAGAGAAAAGTATTTGTTCAAGTCATTTCATTCTTATAAGTAAAGTGCATTTTATTCTATTACACTTTACAGAAGTGTTGTTCGATAGAAATATAGCGAGTCTCATAATGAATTTTCAAGTAGCCACTTTTAAAAAAGTGAAATTAACTGTTAATGTATTTTATTTAACCTAATGTATCCAAAATATTATCATTTTAACATATGATCAAAATAACAATTAATGTGATAGTTTATACTTTTTTGATTAGGTCTTCAAAATTTGTGTGTATTTATACTTAACAACGCATCTGGGTTTAGAGTAGCAATGAAGTGTTCACCTCCACGTCACTGGGTCACTGCATCGGGAAGATGCCACAGTCTCCAGACTGGCTCCCTCAGAGACGTGATGAGCGACGTACTTTTTCTTCCTCAAACCTTTCATTAGTGCACACTCGCACATACTGTTTAAATGCTAGTCTGGGACAGTATAAGACTGAGTTTCTAGGAAGAATGTGATGTCTTGTTTGCTAATACCAAATTAATAATTACACTAAACAGAAAGAGCAGCTCTCAGAGACGCAGCAGTTTCTGACTTGGAGTTATCTGGTCACCTCTTCTGCTTTGTTCACTTGTTTCAACCTGCTATGGAAGGCTTCACTGAAGTATGTTGGGCTAAATTTCTCTAAAAGTTGAGCAAATAGCATAATAATAACATAATATGAAAAAAAAATATGGGTCAACTGCTGGCATGGAGTTAAGTTGGCTTGATTCCACATGGGTCACTGTGTGGCTGGAGTCCTGGACCCAGCGGCTAGAAAAACATGCCAGGCCTGTGTGTGTGTGTGTGCCCAAAACCCAGAGAGAAGGAAAGAGAAGGGATTGTGACACGGCCATCCTCCCTGGGAGGGCGCTTTCTCACTTTCCCTCTCTTTCTCTGTCTCTCTCCAGTGAGTGCACACACCCTATAGCTAACTAAGAAAAGAAAAAATGCTGAAATATAGCACTTACGATCTCCTGAGTGACCAGTTACTAAAGGAGGAGGGAGCATGTTTCAGTGGCTTCTGCATTTTATCTATTTGTATCGTCCCAAAGTCATCACTGAGAAGGCAATGATTAGCTTCAGGCATGTCTGAGTCTGGGCCATGAGCAGCTGCTGTGGACAGACTCGTGATGGCGATGAGAGGGTGCATCCAGCACTATGGGGACACGTCATGGGACTCTGCAGGAGGCACTGCGGCAGACGTATGTCACGACACTAATGCATTCACACGGTCACGGGTAAGATGGGGTATGGCACACGGACTAGACGCTGCGGTTGCCATGAGGGGTACTCACTTTTCAGATCACTCTGCTTCTTTTTGGCTTGTGCACGCCACTGGTGCAGAGCAGGGAAGCCACTTGTGTACAGTGGAAAAAGTATATCATCTAAAACACTGCACTTGACTAAGAAATAGCTGCATCACGGCTGTCATTGAGTTAATGTCATAAAATTACCAACACAACAGGTGCATTACATTTTATGAATCAGAACCCTCGGTTTGCTGATTCATAAACTGGCTGGTATGCGATAAGAATATGATGCATCACAGAAATCTTTATATAACCTTCATGCAGTAAAATTCTAACCAGAGTTTCAAAAACAGTTAATGCAACATTAGACAAGAAGGAAGTTGGTACATACAAATGTTCTGAACATGAGAAAATGGTAATAATCACATTTTTAAAAAGTTAAAAATATATAATATTATTTAGTATTAAATTTTGAATTCAAGCTTAGTTTATAGTGGTAACTTAGAATATTGGAAAAGGATTACCAGAAAAAAACAGGAGTGCATGGCTTTGGAGGAGTTTGGAGGACTGAAACTGCCCTATGCTGTGATGTCCTGAGATAAGTTACAGCACAGCTGCTCCAACAGCAGACTCACGGGTCGTCCTGGTCTGTCTCTGTGCCTGGCTCCATCTGTCACTAGCCAGGGACTCCCTGCAGTTCTCACCTGAGGGACCTCAGACGGAATATTTTGGACACGAGAGTCCACGAACGTCTGACCGTAAGCAGTAAATCAATATAAAACCATATGTGTGCTAAGATGTAAATTAAGTAAATAATGGAGACTTGATAAATATCAAGCAAATTTCTTTCCAAGTATTACTGTACTATGTGCCATTGTGAAGAAGCAACTCTTCTCTATTAATTAAAAAAAGACCATGTAAGATTTATCCCCAAATCATGACCACCTTTATTACCTTAAAAATGATTAATTGTGATGTTACATGTTATAATTTTCATTACTTATGATACAGTATTTAGAATAAAATAAAACGCACATGTTGGCAGCAGCTGGGGTGAGGTCTGCTGATATTTTAAAAATGAGTTGCCACAGTTTAGCTTCTGATATAAATGTCTCTCATGAGGACTGTAAATGGACATTTTTCTAATTCTAGGCATGTTTGCATAATTGGAACTGAATCACTGCATTTACTATTGCATTATGGAAAATATGAAATGTTTAAAATAACAATCTCGTCTAAATTATAAGATAAATGCAAGTAAAAATATATTTCATTTAAGAATTTAGAGCTGGTACTTCCACAGAGTGTGATGAGTATATTATACATATTTATGGGGACTTTACAGGGTGTTTCAGAAGTCCCCGAGGACATACACGATTCACGGTTAGTGTGTCTTGCATACAAATGCACACTGTCCCATACTTGCTATAAGAAATGCTGAAAATGGCCTCATACACTTACAATACAGGCACTATTTTTATTATCAAGGTCACTAGGTGTAACAGGGGTCAGAGATGCCATTTTCTGCACAGGGACTCGGGGACTTCTGGCTCATTCCTGTAAATTAGCTATCCACATAAATATGTAGAGACATATATGCAGTATGCATTGTCACAACATAAATATATTTCACATTTAAGAAAATTTAGATATTCTACTGGTAAACTGACATATGTATTTGATATAGCTTGTATCTATTCATCGGAATTTGATTATTTTTATTGTTGTTCAAATGTACCATTAATTTGTTGTCTCTTTCCCAAGTTGTTACAAGACTCCTTTTATAAAGAAGTAACATGTTTTACTTGCACATATATTTTTTCTTTTTTAACTGAAGTTGATTAATAAAAATTAACATCCACAAATAAATAACTGAATAAATTTTCCTTTTTAAAAGAAATTTTGGTTTTCATTTAGAGTTGTATAATTGTTTCATTGAAACTGTCTTTTAAAAAAATTGCTTCCAGTTAATAATTTTCTGGTTACAAAAGATCACGGTGTCCCATACATTAACATATGTCAGCTTCCTACAGGAGCCCTACGGTCTGCCCACCTGCGAGGTCATAGTAAGGAGGGGCTTTTCTTCAGCAGACTCCTCCCTCGGAATCTCCTTCATCACCATGGCAACAGCCTTATCTGCCGCCCTAGAGCCTTTTCCCTACAACAGTGAAATCAACAATGACTTGTGTCAGGAGAGAGCTTTAACTGATGGTTTATTACAAGTATTCTAATGTTTAAAGAGCAATCCGACAGAAATGAAGAGGCAGGCTGCAGCAAGTGAATCTTGAGGCTTTTGGCTGAGGAGAAAACACACAAAATCTGAAAAAAGATTACTTGTGACTGTAGTTTGCTGCTTTCCCCATTTATGGCTGATATATTTAAGTTTAACATAGTATTTTATATGTATCTTTTAAGGCAATTAACATCATAGGAACATTTTTTATAGGATCAACACTCTGGGTTGCCTTTTTCACTCATTTATAAGTGGTTTCTAGATAGCCCTTAAACGTGAATGAGCATGAGTCAGGATCAGAATCTGACTGTCACTGAGGCTTTGCTGGGAGGTTGCTGAGTCTTCGTCATTTTTGATGGATGGGCATAAAAAAGTCAAAACATCATAAAGTCTCTAAAATTTCTCAGAGGCTTGACTTAACAGAAATTCAACCAACTTGTTTTACGGAGATAGAATGATCTTGGTGAAGGAAATGCAACACTCAATGCTTCTGAGACCAAGGAATTTTAATAGAATTTTGGAAATATTTTAGAAATGTTTTTAAAATTAGAGAATCCCATGAAGATAGATAAAGGGTGATTAACACTGAAGCACTGATATATATACGACTCTGTCTCATACAATCAGTCATGAACTGTTAATTAGAGAATCCCATGAAGATAGATAAGGGTGATTAACATTGAAGCACTGATATATATACGACTCTGTCTCATACAATCAGTCATGAACTGTTAAGAGATATGCTAGTTTTCTGTCTTTTGAGTCAATCATTGGTAAGTTTTTGAGCATAGGTAGGTATGGATGGCACAATGGGAAAATCAAAACGAAATATTACTATCTCAACCCAATTAGAAACATCTCATACTGTGTAAAAATTAAATAATCTTTAAATACTTTATAAACAAAACTTGAATTTTCTCAGGTCTCTAAGGCAGACCCTCCCTAGAGAAAATAATTTCCTACTAAGAGCACATATGAATATCTGTTGTAAATCTACTTACAATACCGAAGTAGGCAAAGAAGCAAAATCGGACATGGGGGTCTGGGGTCTGAAAAGGGAATCAAGAGCTGGGCCAGTATTAACTCCAGGGCTTAACAAGCCGTGCTCGTTCCTATGCAATAGACAAGAGTAGAATCATCTTGGGCTTTCAAAGGGCTTTAACTATTTAAGGAATATGTTAGGGAGCAAAACATTATCCATTTTCTCAGGCATTAACTTTATAACATGTAGCCAGTGGCAGCTTTTATTCATGAGAACGAAGAAAAACTTTCTGTATAGCTCATAGATTTTAAATGTGTGACTATGTTTACAGCGCTGAAAGTTGTTTCTTCGGTTTGTTTTGATTTAAGAATCAAAATTATTGAATGATAATGTATTATTTCTGGAATGGAATGTCAAATACTAGGAATTTTATTTAGCAGATCTTTCAGTAGTAATTTTCATATGTGTTCTAACGAGTGTATATGGCCACAGCTAAGAGTAGCTTCTGGAAGAGAAAAGGGAGACTTAATGAGTCACTGAGTAACAGATCGAGGCACCTAGTGAGTCCAGATTTCTTCTTTAGTGAAGCAAAGTGAACTTCCTAAAATAGAGATGGAGACAGTTTTGAATTCTGAGAAAAGGTTTCTTATGGTACTACTAAAGTGTCTAGCATTTTATCGAAATATATAAATTAATGAGATGGAACATTACACACTACAAGCTTAGAACACCTTTATACACTCATTTACAGACTAAATATAGTTTATAACAAATATTTTTGAGGCTTACTTTTATCAAAAAGAGCAAAATCATTTGTGAAGAATTCTTTCCATGCTCCAAGAAGTTCTAATAATATAGCAATAAATAAAGTGGCATGCTTATGTTCAAATTCCTACTATATTTAAAAGAACAAATCTAATGTTACAAGGTATAATTTTTTAAAAAAATAATTCTTTTTCTTGGTCTAAGAAAAATATTAATTGATAAGCATCTCAAAAAATTTCAGGTCAACTGGTCAATATACCATTATTTGAAATGCTACCAATCCATAAACTACATAGAGATATTTTTTACATGTGCAACTATAATAGCTAGAATTAGCAACGGACATGCCATTTCACTAAAACAAAACAAAACAAAACAAAAATTAGTCCTTTCATGCTGAACTCTAGAACAAAGCAGTGGTCAGCTAGAAAGGTGTATAAGAAACACATGCTCTTTATTTCTTGCAGAAAAACCCACCAAAGCCAGGGTCAGGTCACTTTTTTGAAGACAGTGCCACTTTTTCTTCAAGGTTACACCTACTACCTGAAAAGAGTCATGACACCCGTGTTAGTGCCTGCTAGCAACTTTTTTTTTTCTTTACAGCCTTTTGGCTTTTGAGATAATACCCCAGGAGCCTCATTGTTTTACAAGCGTGGTACAGTCTGAGAACAGAATGGAAGGTCGGCCACAATGACATCTCCATGTTCCAGACAGTGTCTAAAACCACTGCCAGCTTACGTGAAAACACTCATACATCAAAGCGAGACTTCCCCCAGACCGCATCGCCACCTCTACCTGGTATCTTAAAATCAAGCCGTGTTATTTCTGACTTGCCCATTTATCTTGTGGTATAATGCTTCTAGAATTCAGAACCTGGCTGATAATTGATTCACCACTCATGAAATGACACAGCTCTGCTTATCAGCGACTCTGCAGAGCCGCCAGCGATACAGCTGTACAGGCTCTGATCTTTTCAAAGTCAGTGGCTTAAAACATCGTAGAACAGTTACATGCATAATTGTTAGGAGTTGAAACTCAATTTTCTAAATATAACTGCACCAAAGGGTCAATATTGGTCTATTATTTGAAACAACATGAAGACAGAAAAAATAAAATACCCACTGTACATACACGCGAGCATGTACATGGCTCACACACATCAGATGATGCCACCCTTAGCACTGATGGGAAAGAAGGGTGAGACTTTGGAAGTTGACAACCACAGTGGGACATTCTTCGGCAATTATTTCAGCCAATTTTATTTCAAGCAATGTTTCAAAATAACTTTTTTCCCATCTCATTGTTGAATTTCTTGAGATATTTTTGAATGGTAAACAATATTAACACAAGAAAAAAATGTGTTTTTCTCAGTGCTTTATTGAGGAAAATGCTATTCTCTGTTTCTTGTATCATTTTGTTTCTTCACCAGCAAAATATATCAAATGACAGCTTTTCTAGCAAATAATAATTTTAAAATATTTTCTTTTATTTTCCAGGGATTGTGCATGCCCCAGAGAGAGAGAGAGAGCGAGAGAGGAGAGAGAGAACTTCCCAAGGAGGCATGATCTCACTGGAATCCTTTCTCCTCCTTTTCTCCATCCTGTTGGGATTCTGGGCACGCATGCATATGCACTCAGCATGTTTTTCAAGCTGCTGCTCTGGGAGTCAAACCCATGTTGGCCATGTAGGATCCAGCTCCCTTAATCACAGGCCATAGGACCTACCTTCAAAAATACTCGTGCATAATCTTTTTATTAACTACCATTACAAAAGGAAGCATGAGTGAATAAGCACAGGGCCTACAACACATGCCATTACCACTGATTAACACAACCCAGCTACGGGCCACGTCTTTTGTCTTATACAGAAGGTAAGAAACAGAGCAGAATATCTGATGCCCCAGGAGCCTCTCAGTCTGCACATCAGACCATGCAGTCAGCAGACGGGGTGTTAGCTCCAGCTCTGCGTCACAGAGAAGAGGACTAAACTACTTTCAGAAGCTCCCCTGTGCTGGGGACTGTGGTAGATGTTTGATGCGAGTTTAGTTACCCAGTCTCATGATAAACCAGTCTGCGGGGTAGACTGCTCTTCCACAGACAGAGCTGAGCACACTGACGCTCAGAGACAATGTGGTTTGGCCAGAGCCTTGAAGTCCTTCTGCGAGCGAAGACGAGACCCAGACCTGGCCCCCTATGTGCTCCCTTTTCTACCCCAGGGCTGTCTGTTCATCGGCGGGGTAAAGCTAGCCGGCCACACATTTAGGTTGCTCAAGACATCGCTCGAAGTTTGGACTGGTCACTTCTCAGTATGATCACACAGACTGGCTCTAAGAAAATGCTTTTGTAAGAAATGTCTTCTTTCTGCACCTCCAATGGGTAATAAGAACCAGCCCTGAGTGCATTTCTACCTCGGCACTCGGTTTCTTTTATCTGCATGGGAAACTAACATCATCACCCCATGTGTATAAGGTTTTCTACAGCTCAGAGAACTTGGTAGGGTTAGCATCTAATTCTTACTAAATACTAACTAAAGCCCATTAAAAGACAACTTTACTACGATTTTCTCAAGATCCATTTTAGGTGTGCAAGCACATACATGACGCAGTCCCACGGTCCAAGCGCATACATGACACAGTCCCACGGTCCAAGCGCATACATGACACAGTCCCACGGTCCAAGCGCATACATGACGCCGCAATCCCACGGTCCAAACGCATACATGACCCAGTCCCACGGTCCAAGCGCATACATGACGCAGTCCCATGGTCCAAGCGCATACATGATGCAGTCCCACGGTCCAAGTGCATACATGACGCAGTCCCACAGTCCAAGTGCATACATGATGCAGTCCCACGGTCGCACACTTGGGAGCAACTTCCTGGCCACAGATGCTATCATTGCTGTTGTGGAGTTTATAATTTTAAAATCATTGTCATTATTCCTTTTTTAGACAGATTTTTGCTATAGGGTGGGTGTGCTTGCTGAGAGACAGAGAGACACAGAGACAGAAAGTGAGAAATCACTCCTGGGGGGATGGCTATGTTGCGATGCCTCCTCCTGCATTTTCCTCTCAGGATTTTGGGCACACGCGTGTGTCTGGCATGTTTCCAGCCACCTGATGTGGGACTCAAACTGTGGTCAGCCATGTGGGAATCCAGTGACATAACCATTATGCCATC